GTAGTGGGCTGTAAAAATGTGTTTGTCACTAGCAAAGGTGTGTGTGTTGGTGTGTACGTGTGTGCTGTTATTTTCGTCAGTGCATGAGGCTGAGAAATATTTCCACCTTTACACGTCTTTAATAAATGACTGTTAACACAGATAAACTTATGACTTTTGTGGAACTTAGAAAAATATTTATTAAGTTGATGTGAAGAARCGCACATTTCCAACTCTTGTACAAAAATAGAAAAACGCGCCCGTCCTCCTCCACCTCATCTCGTAAAAAACTGACACGCGGGGGGTACCCACCTGACCAAGTGTCAATATGTTGAGTTAGTGTATTTCAAATGTGCCTAAAAACTGACAAATTATATTTTAAAATATTAAAAAGTTTTTTAATTTGACTTTTAAAAGTAAAAGTTGAGTCCAAAACAAGTCCTGGATGTTTAAATTCCTCTACTACTTTGATTTGTTTTTGATCTACACAGAGCTGGAGCAGAGTTAAGTGGTTTTTTCTTAGTGAAGTACATTTTATTCACATTTAATGTGAGCGAGGCTGAAGTTAACCAGACTGTGATTTTTACCATAACACTAGTTAATTATCATTTCCATGTACATAAACCACAGTATCATCTGCATACAACTGTATGTCCACATCACCACAAACTGAGATGTAGAGTGCAAACAACTATTTAATGTTTTTATTTTTACCAAATTACAAAGTAAATTTACCAAGAAATGATTCACTGTMGTGTCAGAGACCCAGTTGCTCAATATGATCTTGAAAAACATTTTCCATAAACGTGAAACTGACGTGTAAAACTACAGCTTTAATAAACGTGAAGAGCAGCTCCACTACAGGCTGAAAGTTGGAGTGGTGTAGTACGAATCCTGGTCCTGTTTGTTTGCTCAGGGGTTAGTTAGAGGACATGTTGAGGCCAATCAGCTGCTGTCTGGTTAAATATTCACTATTTAAGAGGCGTGGCCTGTCACGTGTTAGAGTTAATGCTGAGATAACCAAAACAAAACCTATTTCTATGCTTCAGAAGAAAGTTATGTGAATTATAAATACATTAGATTATTATCATCCAACAAATGACATATTTATCACAATGTATACTTTAAAATTTTATGATTTAGTAGAACTTAGAACAGCATTGACAAAGTTTATACTAAAGTCCTTCCACATTGTACACAGAAGTGGTTCGAAATTAAAGAAACAAATTATGAATTCAGAAAGATTTATTTAGAAAAACAAATATTAAAATAATTGTACCTCTGTTAGAGGGATTTGTGTTTGGAATAATTGTTGTGAAGAGTTAAAACTGTGTTCTTCACTAACTAAATTTAAAATAACGTAAAATAATGATTTGTTACAGAAATATACTAAGTTTTGACTGTTTGCTAGAGTTTTGTTACAAATTTTATTTGATAAAATCTATAAGAAAGATGATGATTTGATAATATATGAATAAAAAGTGAAGATATAAAAGTTTAGGCTTATACCTACACTTTTTTCAGTTTACGCCTTGTCTTTTAAACACCGACAGGAATTTAAAGATTGTGTATTATTTTATTTCTGTTTTTTCCTGTAGTTGTTCAGACTGGTTTTGGTGATTTTTTAAAATATTTAAACAATAAACA